GCCGCCGCTGTCCGGGGCGCCCAGCATGTCGGTGCACTACACCCTGAACCTGCGCGTCTTCTGGCCCCTGGTGACCGGCCTGTGCACCGCGCTCGTGTGCCTCTACCACGTCCTGCGGGGCAGCGGGGGCGCCCGGGCCGAAGCCCCGGACGGCGCCGACTGCGGCTTCCCACTGCTCAAGGCGGCCGTCCTGCTGCTCCTGGGCTACGTCCTGCTGCGCTGCCGCCACGCTGTCCGCCAGCGCTTCCTGCCCGGGCCCCCCCGCTCGGGGCCCCACCCCGCCTTGTCCCCAAGACCCTTCGGAGAGCCAGGCCTGGGCGTCTTGCTGGAGAGTTACTACGAGCACGAAGTGCGCCTGTCCCCCCACGTGCTGGGCCACAGCAAGGCGCACGTCAGCCGGATTGTGGGCGAACTGGTGAGGGCTGGCCGTGCCCGCACGTCCCGAGGCCCCATCCCCGGGGGGGCGCTGGCCTTGGCCTTCCGCGGAGACTTCATCCAAGTGGGCAGTGCCTACGAGCAGCATAAAATCCGACGGCCCGACGGCTTCGACGTGCTGGTGCCGCTGCGCCTCCCGCCGCTGGTGGCGCTGGAGCCACGGAGCCTGGGCGCGGAGGCCGCGCTCGCCCCGGCTTTCCGCGGCTGCTTCTTGGGCACCCTCAAGGCGCCGCCCTCGCCATCGGGGGCCCCCTCGGGCCACTGGCTCCGGGACTGCAAGCCCTTCACGGACGGCTTCTGCGTGCACATGCGTGGGCGACCCCACCTCTCTGCCATGCTGGTGCTGCGTTGGTTTCAGGCCCACCTGCAGCGCTGTCTGGCCACTGTGCGCTACAGCTTGGAGGAGCGCTGTCGGGTCAGCCTGACCCCCGGCGGCCTAGAGCAGCCGCCCACCCTGCACATCCTGCCCTGCCGCACTGACTACGGCTGCTGTCGGCTTTCCATGGCCGTGCGCCTGATCCCCGCCGTCCATCTGGGCGATGGCGCGTTCCTGGTGGCCCCACTGCCGTTACCGTCTCCTGGCGGGCCTTTGTCGGAGCTTCCAGCAGGTCTGCGCCCCGATGCACTGTGGGGCGTGAACACAGCGCGCCAGGAGCAGAGGCTGCTCACCTGGCTGCAGGAACGGGCCCCTCCAGGTGCCTGCTACCTCAAGTGCTTGCAGTTGCTGAAGGCCCTTCGAGACCTGGGTGCCCGCGGGCTGGACCCGATGGCTGCCACCCAGTGGGGCCGCATCTTGTCCTCCTATGTGCTCAAGTCTGCGCTGCTGGCCGTGCTCCTGAGCAAAGGGACACCTGCGCAGGCATGGGAGGAAGTGCACCTGGGCGAGCGCTTGGAGGAGCTGGTGCAGTTCCTTCAGGACTGCCTGCTACAACGCCAGGTGCTCTTCCACTGCGTCCTGGGGCCTGCGCGGGCAGCTGCGGAGTTGGGCCCCCTGCCCAAGGTGCTGCGTGAAGCCGACCCAGTCGACCTCCTAGCGCATTTCGACCATCACGCCCGGGAACGTGCGGCGGCCCGCTTGCTGTCCACGTGGAGAAGGCTGCCTCAGCTTCTCCGGCCCTACGGGGGTCCCCGTTACCTTGCCAGGTGCCCCTCACCGCGTAGTCAACTCAATCAGAGATTCCCTGAAGATGAAGCATAAACCAGACAGTGTCCCCACATGGCCAAAGGCTCCCCAAAGCTTCTCCTGTGGCGTGAGGGGGAGGAGGGCCATTCAGCAGGTTTCATTGGGGGAAAATGAGCTGCAGACCAAACCCAAACCTATCTCACTGCCATAGAGTCGACTCTGACTCACAGCAACCCTGCAGGATAAGGTAGAACTGTCCCTGTGGACACTCCCACTCCGTGAGAGAAAGCCACCCATCTCATAGCACAGAACAAACTATGTCACCGGTGCTCCCTGTCGGAGCCAAGAACTAGTCTTAATGTTGTGCTGTGTGGAATGATTCTATCCAAGGCCTGCCGTTATGGGAAGCAGGTAGAGGAAGCAACAACTAGCTACAGGGGAATGTTCCCTCTATAGCTTCTTAAGACACAGCACCCTCTTGCTCCTAAACTTAAAAGAAGCGTATGTTTTTGACATAGCTACTTAGTAGGTACTTGGTTGCCCCTGGTCATTATACTTATGAAATGGGCAGCCTTGCTGAATATCTCTTCAGGGCACAAGCTGGAATAGAGTCCAGCCAGTGAATTGGGAGTCAGGCACAATGTAAAGTAGCAACTTGCATGTATGAAACAGCACCGGTGAGAGTTTAACACAAGTTGGTTTTGGAGAAAGATGTATCTTACGTCTACAGAGTTTGTCTCCAGGGTTTGCTGCTGGTTGGAGATGGAGACTTTTTTTGCATGGAGATTTCTTTCTGCTTTAATAAGAGAAATAAGAGGAAATGCTGGTTTGCAGTGCCCAGGATATAATCTGTGCTCTCAGTCCACGTTCAGTGGTGGCCCGGCCTGAGGGTACACCTGTCCCTCTCCCATTGTCCACACGGCCAGTTTTGAAGACCTGTTGGTTCTGCCCAAGCCTGGCCAAATGATTTGTTTACAGTTTAGAATCATGGGCTCTCTGCTTGAAGAGCAGAGGGGGAAATACCAGCCAGGGAAACACACTGAGGACATCTGTTCTTTGTTCTCTTTGAGCTTAAATGTCATCAGGCTGAGTGTATTTTGAGCTCCTGTTGAAGTCTCCTGTCCCTTCTTACCCAAATTTTAACAATCCTGAATTTTCTATCGACTAACTCTAAAGTTCTAGCTTAGAATAGTCCAGCATCCCCTAGGAGCCAGGGTGGTGCAAGTCATTTTCGATTGGCTGCAACCTAAAGGTTGGCTGTTTGAGCATGGGTGCACCATGCTCAAAGAACGGCCTGGCAAACTACTGTGGCATAGATTACCCCCGAGAACTCTATGGGGCAGTTCTACTCAGCTCATGGAGTTACCGTGAATCTGAATCAACCCACCAGCAATGGGTTTGGTTTTTAACTTTTATCATCCTTTCCCCTGATTGGAAAAACAAGTCTCAGTGTTATACTTCGGGATTTCTTACAGGTAAAAGTTGGAAGAAAAATCAGCTGTTGAATGGGGGCCAGTGTTTCCTTGCTGAGCTATTTTCAGGGGTATCTGGAAACCTTTTCACCTTAGGGGACCCATTAAGGCACTGCAAGAAATCGTTGTGACTGAAAGGCTCACAGGGACTTTTCATCAGGGCTGTATAGATTTCTTAGAGCCTTTGACACCATGGGCTGTAAGAGAACTAGCAGGGACTGATGTGCTGTCTCTTTGAGGTTATTGTGGAAATGGCTCCCCTGGTACCACACAGGTCATTCCTAGTCTCCAAGGTGAATGTTAGGTCATAAGGTACTGCATTTAGCAAATGGGTCAACCTATCAACTTCCTGCAAAGCTACCAACTGCACAGTGTTCTTTAAATTAGTTTTTAAAATAAATGCTAAGAGTAAATCATATGTATGTGTGTGTTTTTATACACACATATACATATATGTTCTTTAATATATATATATGGACTTTTAAAAATTCATGGAAATTGGAATGAAAAGAGAATGGAATTTTTCCATGAACTTTTTGACAAATATACTTCTATACCCAGCCGCACTTTCTCCTGTAGTCCTTAAGTCTCCTGGGGGACAGCAAGGCTCTCAGAGGATTATAAAGCTATAAAAGTGGAATTTTCTAATTTTTTTTAAAAGCTGACTTGATGGATTTCTCTTTTTAAATTTTGATAGTATTTTGAAGCATATGTCTAGTAGCATAGTGTTCTTGTAGTTTTTTATAGTTTAAGTTCCCAAAGCCTCAACCGTCCGGTTAGAGGGTTATTATTATTTTTTAATTAATGGGGCATTGTATTTGTGAATCTTGAAGATATCAATGCTTTATTTAAATGCCACTCAGAGCATTGTTCTCTGTAGGTGGTGACCCAAACCTAGAGATTTAGATCAATTTTGATCAATGTTTAGTCATCCAAAACATGTACTATGTACAAATGAAATAATATGGCATATTTGCCAGGTGTGATCATTGCCCAAAGCACTTAAATTAAGCTCAGTTCTGTATTTGATTAGGGCTCTGTCACAGCCTCCATTTAAAATGTGTACATTTTTTGGTGTGTGCTTAGTACTGGAGACTCATAGATACAACTATTCTCAGACAGGAAGGCTCAACATTGCTCATGTAACTTTAAAAAAAAGGGAGGAAAAAAAGAAAAAAATTCTAACCAGCCCCCGGAGAAACTGTTTCGGGGAATATGAATCAGCCCATTTTGGTCTGAAACGCCCTGTCAGAGCTTCCAGTGGCCAGCCTTGGGAGCCATTCCGGAATGCTTGTGGGTTGGGAGCAGGAGGTTGTCTGTGTGTGAAATGAAACTGAAGCAGAAAGAGGGAGAATGTGAGGGAACCAAAGAACTCGGAAGAATTCTGGAAGGGTGAGCTCAGATGGAAGTGAGGGGCGAGGCGGCATGGACATTGTAGGAGGGTGTGAGACGAGTTTGAGTTAGGTTAGAAGACACATTTTTAGGTGTGTGCAATTACAAACTAGGAGGGGTTGCACACTCAGCCGCTTGATTTAAAAGAAAGTGGGGGTGGGGGTTAGCAATCTAGTTTGTTTTTTGATTTTCAAAGTGAAACTTGATTGAACAAATAATTGTAAAATGTTCAGAACACCACGTGGGCCAAATAAACGATTTAATTGAACCCAGGGCTACCAGTTTGCGACCCCTACCTTACACAGCTAACCCCACTAAGTGTGTATAAGGCTGTATTTATTGTTATGGTTACAATGTTGTTATATATAGTTGGGGCTTTGATATTTCAAGTCTTCTTTGTCTCTCAGAGCTAAGCTGTATTGTAGAAACAACTGCCAAAAAAATTAACACTGTCACAGATAGCACTTAACTCCATTCCCAGAAGGGCCCAAGAGCTCCTGCATCAAACCAACCAGGATTGGGGAGGAGGGGAGGGTAGTTGTCGGCATTTCTTTTCCGGGTGACTGGGTGAAACTCCTTGGCTCTGTTGGAGTTTACAGATGAGTAATCAGGAAGGATTGCAGAAGAACTTGTTTCTTCTCTATTTGTATTTTATTTTTAGAATTAATTAAATTTTAAAATGTTTTTAAGTGGAATTTTAGCCAGTGCCTTAGCAATGATCACAGGTGCCCTTGAACACCAGCAAACATGATGCTAGCCCTTGAGCTTCAGCCTCTTAGGGTTGTTACCACTCCCATGATCCAAATGACCCTTCCTGCCTGAGTATGTCTATTCCTGTCAGGTATCTGAGGGAAATACCCTATCATCCATCTAAAGTGGTGCCTTCTAACCTCTTGGAGCCTGTTAATTGAGCCTGACCACCGGCTTTTCCTTCTAATCCCCACCCTTTTCGGGGGAAGATGGGAAAAAACCAACCCTCATGTTTCCAATGTCCTTTGAGAGGGAAGCAAGTTCAGTGTGTGTCCCCGTGGCAAATGTTAATTTTTTTCAAACTAGGCGTCTACTGCCATGTTTTTGTACCTACGTAGCACAGAGTTTGGTGGGGATAATGCAAGTGTAAGGTGGGAGGGGGTGTGACTCACCCCTGCAACCCCATGTACAGAGAGGCAGGGTGTGCCATGCAGCTAAATGGCATCTTAGCTGGCTTCTGAAGGGTCAGCAAGGAATAATTTTAGCGGGTTTTGCTTTAAAACCGTAAAACATGCCTTGAGGTAGTCACTTGACATAAAACATTCCTAATTTGTTATTGTAATATGTATGTGATGACCCCAAACTGTGTGCTAGGGTGCTGCCTGTTGACTGCAGTCAAAGCATACATTTTGTTCCAGCATCAGAGGCCAAAGACTGATTCGGAGACAGTTCATCTGTGAAAAATATACTGGGATCCCACCACATTTCCATGGTCCAGTTAGTTGAAGCCTATCCTTGGTTTTCTGTTTGGGGTGGGAGTCGTTTTGCTTCTTTTAATCATATGGATAATTTGAGAACTGTGGTCTTTTATACGTTGCTTTATTAATAAAGGAACTCGTAGAAACTGCTGGAGTGGCTGTCAGGTCTTGCCTGTGTTGACTGACGCTGACCTGTGGTGCTTCACATAAGCCTCAGGGGCTCTCGGCCTGAAGGTGCTGTGAGGTTTTCCAGGCTTGGAATCTGGGAACCCCCAGATTGCTCACACAGAATTGCACTGAGATGGGAAAGGAGGCCAGTTCATAGTTTTGCAGGCTTGCTTTCTGCCCTGCCACCGCCACCTCACCCCGGTTTTCAAGTGCTTCCTTAAAAAGCCCAAACCCAAGCCTTCCTGCCCATTCAGCCTCTAAGGCAGAGTAGAACTGCCTCTTGGAGTGTCTGAAGCAGCAGATCTTTCATGGGAGAAAAGCATCACATGTTTCTTCAATGGAGCAGTCATTGGATCCCAACCACTGACCTTGCGGTTCCCAGCCCATCTGGTAACCCACTACACTACCAGGGCTCCTTATCTAAAAAGAGCCACCAATTGTCACTGAAAGGCAGGCAGTTTTAACACACCAGCCACCCTGGGGAAGAAAAACGTAGCCTCCCATCAAGTGGATTCCAGCTCAGGGCGACCTTGTAAATCTTCACAGGAGGAGACAGCCTCACTGTCTCCAGGGTGGGCTTGAACTCCCAGTCTTACGGTTAGCAGCCCAACACTTTACCCACAGCACCACTAGGGCGCCTTTCTGTCAATACTGGAAACCCACAAGGTCCATTCTACTTTGCTCTATACGGTTGCTATGAGTTGGAATTTGGACTTTTCCCCTTTTCCTTATCTAGGACGTTCTCCTCCCACCCGTTCCCTCTCACCCCCACCTCCCTTTCTCTCCCCACCTCTCCCTCCTGTGTCCAAACACAAGAGTCACGTCATACCCTGTGGCTAATTTATAGTTGAAGAATTTTGCTGAGAAATCGCTTAGGCCCCCAGGCCCTCTCCAAACAGCAACATTCGCTCATATGAACACCCACCGAGTGTGCAGGCAGGTGGTAGCTTGGAGGCCGAGCAGGAGGGCCGTGCAGCCCACCACGCCACCAGGTGGAAGTTGGAGTCTGCAGCCACAGCCTAACTCTTGGGGGAGACTTGTTTAGGGGAAGGACTTGGTGGGGTGTCTTCTTTTTTTGTTTAAAGATCATTTTATTGGGGGCTCGTACAGCTTTTATAACAATCCATACAATCGTATCAAGCACATTTATACATATGTTGCCATCATCATTTTCTAAACATTTACTTTCCTTTTGAGCCCTTGGTGCCGGCTCCTCTTTTTTCCCTCCTTCTCTATTTTGTTTTCAATGAGTGTTTATTTTATTATTATTATTTTTTTAAAGATCACTTATTGGGGGCTCTTACAGCTCTGACAACAATCCATACATCAATTGTATCAAGCATATTTGTACATATGTTGCCTTCATTTTCTAAACATGTACTTTCTATTTGAGCCTTTGGTATCAGCTCCTCTTTTTTGCAACGAGTGTTTATTGAGCTCCTACTCTTCCGGGAACTCTCCCTGTGTTGGTTTGTTTTTTCCCCCCAACAGTTTTATAGGCACATAATTTACATACCATACAATTCAATAGTTCAATCATTAAGTTATATCAATAGGCATTGGACATTGGACAGTCTTAGAGCATACCCCCCCACACCCCATGGTTCAATCGCCTTTAAAATTAGTTGTGCAATCACAATCAGTTCTAGAGCTCTCTGCTCTCTCCCTCCTTCATTATTTACTCCCCAAATCCCCTTTCCCTCCCTATTGCCCCACCACCCCTGCCTTCTCTATAACCCCTTGTATCAGTTATTCTCATTATACATCCACCCCTCTTATGATTCACAGCCGGGATTCCCAACAGAAAACAATAAAAAACAAAATCACACTAAGGTGGTAAGGTTAAAAATCATAATAGTATAAAGACAACAATACACATAATTCATAAGAAGGAAAGGACCCCCATCAACATTCAAAAAGCCAGGGAAGAAATTTCTTGTCATGGAACAAGTACGAGACACTTGCCCCCAGTACAAATTCAGGTTGCGACTATAGGGGGTGTCAGCTGACCAAGTATTGGGTTCGATCCCGCATCATCAAGATTGAAATGCTTGCCTTTGGCTCAGTCTGACTAGATACTCTGCGGGTGGGTTTTGGGCTCCCATGGTCCTCCATGGTCGTCTACAAATTGGGTTTATAATTTTATCTCTGGTCCTTTTCTCTTCACCATAGTCAAATTTTGTGATGTCATCTTTAGATCACACAGGCTGGTGTGCACGCACGGCAGGGACAAGACAGGGTGCTTTCTCACTCAGGAGCTCGTGCACCGAAGGGCAGCAGTGCACAAAGCCATTTCCATGCCGTGTGGGGCGCGTGCCTGGGGAGGTATGAACGTTCAGAAGGAGGGTACCCGTGCAGTTTGGGGGTCCAGGGAGGGCCACTCAAAAGAAGTGACATCTAGCCGGAGATCCAGATGATTAGAACTTAGGCAGCTAAGGGAACTGGGCT